CGTCCTGTGCGCCTGGGCTGCCCGGGCGCCCCCAACCGAACCTCCTGTCCGCCGCGACGTCCGACATGCTGGGCCGCGCTGTGCTGTGCCTCGTCCTGGCCGTGGCGGCCAGGGGGGGGGCCGACGCCCCCGGGGGGGGGGGCCCCCGCCGGCGCCCCGGAGGAGGAGGACCACGTCTTGGTGCTGAAACAGAGCACCTTCGCGGAAGCGCTGGCGGCCCACAAGTACCTGCTGGTGAAGTTCTGTGAGTGCCGCGGGCCGGGCCGGACTCCCCTGCCCCTGCAGTCCCGCGCCAGGCCGGGCTCCTGCGCTGGCACCGCCGAGCGCGCCTGCTGTCAGCCCGGCACGCGTCCTCCCGCGGTGTTGGCAGTGCTACGTCCCGGGAGGCCTCCGGGTGGGAGGTGCCTTTGTGCCTGTCGGCGCGGCAGGGTCCCCTCCTGGGAGAAACTGGACCGACCAGTGCGAGCCGCCGTGGGGCCGGACACGCCCGCCCGGCCCGCGCTGCCGCACCTCGCACCGCCGCACCTGCGTCCTGGCAGGCCAGAGTCCGAAACTTTGCTGCGTCTGAGTGTTTAAGCCCTTTGTCGAGGTGTTCTTAGGTGCGTTGTGGACACAGAGCTTCATTCCCACACCTAGTTGGGTTCTCGGGGCGTGTGTGCACAGACGGCATGCAGGCTCCCCACTAGTTCCTGCCCAGACCAGGCTGCTCCCTCCGGGTCTCAGGTTCCCTGGACTCTCCCAGGGCAGTCCTAGGGACGCCTGTGCCGATCGCCTGCAGGTGGCAGGGAGTTGCCCATCACCAAAGGCCAGGTCTTTGGGTGGCCTCTTGGTATTGCCCAAGAGCACCGAGCGGTGTGCTCAGAGGGCTTGGTTTTCTCAGCGGGCCATAAGGGAAGTCCAGGGGGAGCACGCGGTCTAGCCTCTGGGTTTCTTTTTCAGATGCCCCTTGGTGCGGCCACTGCAAGGCTCTGGCCCCCGAGTACGCCAAAGCGGCCGCAAAGCTGAAGGCAGAAGGCTCTGAGATCAGACTGGCCAAGGTGGACGCCACGGAGGAGTCTGACCTGGCCCAGCAGTACGGCGTCCGCGGCTACCCCACCATCAAGTTCTTCAAGAACGGAGACACAGCGTCCCCCAAAGAGTACACAGGTGCGAATGCGGCTGCCTTTGGGTGCCGTAGGTGGGGCTTCCTGCAGCCCTGGGGGCCCCAAGAGCTCCGCCAGGAGTGAGAGGCAGAGAAGCCACTGTCAGGCATGGTGGGCAGTTTGTGCTCACACTGCATTTTCCTTCTGGTCCTGCCCGAGGGTCCTGTGAGGACAGCTCTCGTCCTGGAGGAACCCTCCAAGCAGGAACTTGGTCTGTGGTGACGTCTTGGGGCATCCAGCTGGCTGAAGCCTGTCTGCAGGTCATGGCAGGGGCAGGCTTCCCGTTTCCCGCTAATGCTCCCCGGAGCAGCGCAGCCATAGCCTGCAGGGTGACATGCACATGCCAGCCCCGAGCAGAGTGCCCACGTGACTCCGCTGCCTCTCACGGGTGGAAGGGTGGGGCCTGGGGCTGCCAAGGCCTGGCGTCCCAGCTCTGCGGCCCAAACCTCACCTTCTGTCTTGCCACCTTCATGGAGGCGGGTCTCACAGCAGATACTCGCAGGGCCCATCTGTCATCCAGAGGCAGAGGGTCCCCTTGGGCCGCGCTGCCCACGGCTCTGGAGCCAGCAGCTCTAGTCTCATTGTCCCCACTTTTCACACGGGTCCCCTGTGGAGCCAGAGTGCTGGGTCCAGTCACCAGGGTGCTGTCCCTAAAGCTTAACCGCTGTGGAAGAGACCGCTGTTCCAAACCCACGCGTGGCCGGTTGCTCCGCCGCTGGCCCCTTCGGTAGAACCCTCTTAGGCTGGGTTGTGGCCGCATCTCCTGGGCTGGACCAGGCCGTCAAATCACCAGGGGACGAAGAATGGGCCTTAGCTCGATCTTTGTGTTTGTCAGCCTCACGTGGGTCCAGCCCCACAGCATGCTGTCTGGTTCCTGCTGGCCTGGGAAGTGTGGAGAGCAGGCCCCGGGGGTGGGCTGTGGACTTGGAGGTGACTAGCTGCCACACCTCTGGAGAGGAACTGGGCTCGAGGCTGCCCCTGGGCAAGCGTGCATGTGCTCACTGGTCTGAAGGTCCGAGGAAACGCGACGCGGGGAGCCTGCCAAGAAATGTGGCTGTTGCTTACGTACCTGGGCATGGCCGCCGGGGCTTGGGGGCCGGGTAGACAGGGCACCCTGCTCGCTCCGTGGCGAGCGAGTATGTCACTGGCACTGTCCGACGAGGTGTCCTCAGCTCGTTGGGGGGAGCTCAGGCCCCAGCGGGCGGCAGGGGTGGTGGAGCCTGTCTGAGGGGCTGCACATTTGTTTGGGGTGTAGCTGGCAGAGAAGCCGATGACATTGTGAACTGGCTGAAGAAGCGTACGGGCCCTGCTGCCACCACCCTGTCCGATGGTGCGGCCGCAGAGTCATTGGTGGAGTCCAGCGAGGTGGCTGTCATCGGCTTCTTCAAGGTAGGGCGCTGGGGCTTCATCTTGGTCCTCTTTCACTGCGTGGGGCAGGGTAACTGCGATTGTGGTACCTGCCCTGCTGCTGCTAGGCAGGGTCCCGGGTGCTGGGCAGTGCGGCCACCTCTGGGCTCCCTCTTCCAGGATGTGGACTCGGACTCTGCCAAGCAGTTCTTGCTGGCGGCAGAGGCCGTCGACGACATACCCTTTGGGATCACTTCCAACGGTGACGTGTTCTCCAAGTACCAGCTCGACAGAGATGGGGTTGTCCTCTTTAAGAAGGTGAGTTGCCCTTGGCACCCCACCCAGGGCAGGTGCTGGTCTGCAGGGGGCGGTGTTGCTCCCTTATCTCCGGAGGACCTTGCCCTGCCAGTGTGCAGGCCGGCCTGGAGGCAACCTGTGCCGTGTTAGCAGAGATACGAGCCTGGCTGCTCCTGACTGCCAACCTTTTTTTCCATTGTAGTAAAGCACAATGAAGGGTCCATTCTGACCACTTTTCACTAACAGAGGGCGCGCGTCCTTGCCCGAGAGCGACGGGAGACAGCCGGGAAGAGCGCTCCTCAGCGGGGCGTGGCCACCCCACCGCCCTCCTGCATCTCTGTCCCGTCAGCACTTTGGGCACGTGTGTTGTCCACACTGCGAGGGCTAGGATTCTGACTGGCTGGCCGTGTGGGACCCGGCTCCCTTAACCACGAGGCAGATGGGCTGGCCCTACACTCTCAAGTTTTGCGATAGGGCGCGTGCACTCGTCGGACAGACCGCGAGGAGGAGAGAGGGACAGTGGGAAAGCTCTGCGGGGTGACCATGCCATAACCCTCTCCCTGTGTCTCTCAGGACTGAGGGCATGCACGTATAGGCACCCAACGTGGTTTTCAAGCTGCCAGGCCTAGGATTTAAACTCAGTTGGCCTGTGGGATCCAGATCCCTAAACTGCTATGCCCTAATTATTGTTTTGTTTTGTTTTGTTTTGGGGGAGGGGAGAGGTTTTTGCTATAGGGCACGTATGCTCGCCAGAAAGACAGAGACAGAAAGCGAGAAATCATCCTCCGGAGGTATGACCACGCTGCAATCCCTTCTCCATTCTCCTCTCGGGATCTTGGGCACGCACGCACATGTGAGTTTTGTTTTAAGAAAGGTTTTTGCGGGGGAACCAGCAGTTAGCGTAATGGCTATGTCGCTGGACTCCCACGTAGTTAACTGCAGTTCACCTCCCAGACCGGGTGGCTTAGAACTCACGCTGGGCGCGTGTGCGTGCGTGCCCAAGATCCCGAGAGGAGAATGGAGGAGAAGGG